GGCATAAGACCACATTTCATGAATATTAATCTACCCTAAAGTCGGATTGAGGTCAGTGTGGTGTCAAGATTTTTGCAAATGGTGGTTTGATGCTTTCCTGCAGGTGTTATATTTGAATTAATTATTAATATTTGTTGTATTATTGATATTCCGAAATTTAGCCAGCTATGTTATAGCACGGATAATTTTAAACAGATCCATATATACCAAGAAATGAAATTTTACCATATATTTGTTGTGTTCGGTAAGGCAGTTCAGGGTTATATATGTTCTGTTTCCATTATACAAGTGACATGAAGAGAAAAAACGTCAAATTTTAACCAGGACTGAATATAAAGTAAATGAATTATCTCTAGTATGAATTCAGTCAAATGTGTTCTATACCAATGCCATCGCAGTAAAACAACACGTTGATTTTGCTCTATTTTTAAAATAAAATAACTTAACTGCACTTGTTTGATGCGTCAGACATGTGTTTCGACTAATTTTTGCGTAAATAAATATCCCAATTTCAATTATTGAGACCATTGAAGTATCTGAAGAACCGATTCGAAGGTGAGTCACCCTACCCACCGATACGAAAATTATCGAAACTGCCGTTTTATTAAACAACGCATGGGTCTTATATAAACCGCGACTCTTTACCACGTTTTTCGAGTGACTCAAATATGCCCTCAGTTAATTTTTATCAATAACCAACGACACCTACGGTTTGTACGGTGGTCGATTGAGGGTATACGGCATACCTAATCTGTGATTTTCCCTACTTGCTCATGGAAACAAGGGTTACAAGAGAGCTTTTGAACTCGAGGGTGACGTACGCACTGTAATAACAATGGCGGGGAAGAACTATGACTAGAATGTGAGAACAAAGTCAACATTTGACATGATGTCAGACAATCTGGACAATGTTTGAAAAAAAGCAATAAAATACATTTTCTTGTCAATATTATACTTTGAACCAAAACATATTGGTCGTGTAGACTTGTAGGTTTAGGCCTTTAGGGGGACAGTGGTGTGGAGAGTTTGCACTCATCTCGAGTGACTCTCTGCTTTGTAAATAAAAATATTAAAGTAGTTTATATTTGTAATAATGATATATATGTATGGTATATACTTGGTCACACGTAATGTTTTTTTAACTGCTGTTCATATTTTAAAACAAATGCTTTATCTTAATAACTACCACGTAAACCACAATACTCGTTTGTCATTCAATCAAGTCAAGGGTTCATGCCATCGGAGTTGAATTTTGTATCGTATAGCAGTTGTCTGATTGCAAAATTTAAAATCCTTAACTGTGATTCAACAGTATATTATGACTTCGTGGTGTAGATACCTATTTGCGAGTTAGTTTTTATCTTCTACTCTCTCAATGGTCGCATAAAATTTTCATTTAATCCATTCCGGAGTTATTACATGTTCCCATGTTTTGAGCAAATTTTTATAGCAAAGGCCAGCGAGTTCTAACCGTTTTAAAGAAAGATATCATTATTATTTTGTTAACCTCATAAACATCCGAAATCAATTTCTCGGCTGCGCAAACTGTACACTTATCCCGTAAATCACCACTTGAACCTCAGTTTTGTCGTCAGTCGAGAGTGCGTGCATTCCACAACCGGCGAATGATTTTCGAGGGTTTCAATTGTTTTGCCTTCAGTTTTGGTGATACGTTCTGCTATATCTATACAAATTCTCATCGCCTACCTCCGCTTCCTACTTTTGGCCTTCATTCCTATTTTGTTTTTATAACTCCCAAATTGTTTTCTTTGTCCTTTCTTCTACGCCATATCCCTCTTTCGGTCGCTTTTATCACTCCCAGGCCCAATACGTGACTCAATTTGGGCTTTTTTCAATTCTAATCGTATTCGGGTTAAAAATGTTCACGGTTAGGTATTGGGTTGGAAACATATGTAACAACAAATTCTCTTCTAGCAACAAGAAACAAACTTTAATTAATAATTTTCATCACTATATTCATCATAGGAGATTATCAACATAGTCCCATAGCAGGCGTGGCTATGGATTAAACTATTTTTAGCTACTGGTACGCTTTAGACCTTTGAATAAATATTTTTTGATTCCCATTGGCTGATCGCTTTTCTAAAATTAGACACACTTAAAATTAAATATCGGCAAACCCTATCGGCTTATTAAATTTACGAAATATAATATTTCCAAAACTCAATATATTTGAAACCTGTTTCGTAATAATGTGAATACGGCTATTACAGTTCTATGATTAACATAATTATCAAATCTTCGATATCTTTGGAGATATTTTGAGGCATAAAGGGGGTTTATTAATACATATTATATACCATTTACCTGATACAAAACCAATAACTGCCAAGATGAATTACGGTCATTACTGTCCTCACCGTTGCGTGTTATGACCAAAAAATCGCTCCAAGTGATAGCAAATTGAAAACGAATGGTTAATTTACCTCGGAGCTTCAGAATAAATTCCGGGTTTTCGAGTCTGACTTCGTTTAAATCGCTTTAAATACAATAAATTTTAATAATAGGTTAGTATAGAAAATAAATGAATTCACGAGAGATGGAAATTTCAGTGCTTATACCGGGATTTATTTTATTTAAGCGAAAGTTGAAATATTCTATTTTAATGTAACATCAGTAGGTCTGAAGGTCTTTTTCATTATGATATTTTAAAAGACTTAACGAGTAAATATGTGCTAATTTCTGTTTCTTTAGCTTTACTGTATATCTGTTGATGATTACGTAAAGTGCTTAACGTTTCATTACATTTTGCAACCGTCAATTCAAGTTTATATCCGAACCTTCGGGCATTGGCGGCTTTAGAAAAAACGCGTTGTTGTGCAAATAGAAATGCCAGTCGCCACCCGACAGTAGTGGTGGCGCGCGACGCTGTTCACGACAGACGAGTTTGGAATGCCGCAGTGTTGTAAATTTTGCCCGTAGGTTTTGTGCGGTCGCCATCGAGCTTGGAGTCAGGGCAAGGATTCGTGCATAAGGATAGGACTAATGATACGCCTTGGTTGCTACCGTATATATGTCTGAATTATCTGAGCAATTTCAGTAACCTATAAATTACCGAAACGTGAGTAGGATTCGCCTCTTACTTAGTGTGGTTGTGCCAGACCAGTAAAAATAGATGTTTAATTTGGTATGTGGAACAATTTTAGGTACGTGTGGTGTGTTGTAGGTATCGTGGTCCACTACAGAATGAGGTCTTTTATATTAAGTTCAAATATTATGTTGCCACACCCCTTCCTGTTGCTCAAGAGCATATAGCGGTACCGGTAATGATTAGTACTGTAGTAGGACGCCGGGTGATTGCAAAATGATTACATCTCAATCGAATTTGTAATGTAGGACTGAATCCGCCTATTGTGTTTATTTACATATCGTTTTCCAATTTATTAACTTAGTGCAAATTTGCGCCTTTGTTTCCAATTGTGAGTTTATAATTGCCGGTAACGTATCGCCTGTGGGATAGACTGATGAATCGTAATAGCCGTTCCAATTAGGTTTTTTACAATGCAGTATATTTGACTTTCGCAATTGTGTCTCGCATTTTACGACCCACTCCAGTTAGCGTGAAATTCCTGGATATCCGCGGAAATTTTTATATGTTGTCGCGGCCTGCCCTTAGGATTCGTACATTTCAGCTTGCCTGAATGTTGTATCCCTTTAGTAATATTAGTTGGCAGTAATATTGAGTATTTCGGGATGTTTTAATTTGTCAAATGTCTGTTATAATTAAAAAGTTCATTTATGAAATTGAATCTCAATTTCTGAAAAAATCACAAATTATTATTTGTTAGGGTCCGCCCTAAAACTGTTGGTTTGAATTATATCTTCCGGTGCATTTCTCGCTTTGCCTTGCGCTGAACATATTGTAACTTTTAATAGACGCATGGGAGTGTCTTCGTGCGTTGAATGCAATTAGCACGTGGGTACAACAAATACATAGCTCGATTAGATTGTATGCCCAAGTTTGTCTAAGCGAAACGTTAATTCTAGTTAAATACAAACCTTTTTTGACAGTTGATTTTAAAATATACATAAGCGAATTATTGTGCTCATGCCTATTCTAAAAACCGGTTATTAATATTTCGAAAATAGTAGCGGTGTTTATCTTATGGTTGTTATATTAGCTATGCTTTTACGAGGAATTTCCCATTTGTCTGTGTCCTGAGGTACAGCATGTTGTAATTTCAGTTTTTGTGCGACAGCAAAATACAGATATACAAATCGGATTATAATACATTTGGAGATAAATCTTAGTCTGCGGCTTCATTAACCGAATACTAATGGTCAATGGTTCATACAGGTTATTTAAAGATTTAATGAAAATTAAAGCAATTGGCGTAAATTGTGACTCGTGCAACTTCATTCTTGGTTAGATGATCAGTCGAATATGTTGCCTCCGTCTGGTTAGTATATGGGTAGAGCCCGTGTATATTTGGCCTTGATCGGTAAAGTTAGTTTTATGTCAACCCGTGTAACGCCATCAAGCGAAAAACGCCGCCTGCCTTTGTTAGAGTACTTGTTTCAACAAGACGTTACGTGTTCTAGTGCAATATCAACGTAAACGTATTGTAACCTGTTGAGAAATGTCGAGTCCAGTAGCCTTTGTCGCGAAAAGTGAGAGGCGCTTGGTTGATGAGTGTTGGAGCTAATAAGAAGTAGGTAGCGAATGCTCGAATTTAAATAGGCTGGTCGGTCCTGTCGCCAGTCAGTGATATAATAGGCGTTGAGTAGTCCGGAGCTGGGAGGGCGCTTACGAAATATACCGCCAGACAGTTAGTATCATATTTCATTGATAAGAGTGGATTTTTTTAAATCGTGTATTGCATCAACATTCTCTAAAAAGTATTTTAGTTCAGTTTGCCTTGTCATGTACGGGATTTAGTCGTACGCAAAAGGAATCATTGCAATTGACCTGTCTCGCTAATAACTGTTTATTTTGTGTGCATCTTTGGTTACCATTACAACTTGTGGCTTGTTTAGCGATGGGTGCGACAAACGGCAAAATTTGCTGTCCGTGTCATGGATATCACGTGACCTGTCGCGGAGTGGCGTCATCGAAGGGGTTTTCTAGTGAAGGGGGTGAAATCGATGACGATTTACCGTGTGCTCCACAATTATCAGAACACTGTGATATTGCAAGCTTGTACAGTTTCGTAGAGGAGACTAGCTGTTTTTGTATATGTCCATCAAAGTGTCGACGAAAGCGCAATAAAAAGTCCTACATTGGCGATATCAATCGGAAAGAAGAAAAACGGTCGTCGTTCACATTTCAAACTGCATTCCCCGACAACCATGCATTATTTTGCGGCGGAAGAGTGCCTCCATTTCCCGTCGAACATGGACTATATAGTCGGGCCCCTTCGAGCAATATATCGAACAAGTCTAATCGTTCTTCAATGAATTCTGGAATACAACGTGCTGCACAGCGACGTGCTTCGGATGTAGGGCTGTGTCAGAAACACATGTTCAGTCAACGCAGAGCTAAGGCATTTGGTAGTACAGGATGTGTTTCTAGACATGGCAAGAGGAATCCACGCGGAGTTCCACCGTTTCCTTTGATTTAAATATACGTAAGTTGTAATTACAGACCAAATGCTCGACAGCTTAGTCAAGTTTGTGCCGTTGGAACTCAAAAAATACTGTTTAAACCAAAATAGTTTCACGATTTTCTTAATAAATAATGATATTATCACCATAGCGTCCGCGAAAATAAACGAATAAGTGTGCACATTAGCGAACTTTATTTCTTGTGTTATAAAGGCCGCTAACCAAACAAAAAGTCTGGATAGTATTCAGATGGTCTCCTGAGTGAAGGAAGACTCGTGCCTACCGACCAGGCAAACTTTCAGCTCGATATAGTTATGTGCAATTTACCGTGGTTTAAGACCAATGAACGCAAGGTTTTCCTTAGCATTTTTGCCATTGTTCATCAATTCAATTACGAATTCGACTTCTATTTACCATTTCCGCATTCATCCTTGTTATTCTTGGTCAAGTAACGCACGTACGACATTCACTATGTTTTAGTAAAATACACACCTACCATGTTTATTTATGTTGGGCCGCCATTTTCAACCCAGGAAATAACTAAGCCGTTTGTTGACAGATATTTCCCCTTTTGAAATTACTTCAGCGTTTTAGGATTACTGTAGTTTAGATAATCTGACAAAGAGTTATTACCTTGTCACAAGACTGATTAGTAATGTGACGAATTGGATTTATGGCATACATAATATACTGGGATAATCTACCGATCTTGTCGTATCCAATTTCTATTGGATAGTAAATTCCATAAGATTCTGAGATTGGATAGTTACCGAAGCAGCTGAGAATATCTTTACCAGATTGGAATGGAATATTCATTCTTAACTTGGCCCCAAATGTTTGTATATTCGATTGCTATTGGTCTCATTCATTTGAAGAAGCTACCTTTCACATAACGCAGTATACGACTTGTATTATGTTATTTTCTCAGAAATTTTAGGATTTCTTTGTCTCGGTGACCGGCAATATAATATACCTATGGTGTATACCACAAAGAACCGCGTCACTTTCCCCATAAACGTTATAATTCTACTAAAAACTGCACCGTGCAGTTTTATTTCTAAATATTATTTGGCAGGCCAAAGCTGAAATAAAAGTAGCGTGATTGTAAAACTGGTTGACACGCAGATTGTCAGTTTTTTGTAACAGTATGTATTAAGTATATTGGTCATTTCAATTTACCAATTCCCGTAAAACGGTACCGACTTTCAATGCTTATATTTTAGTTAGTACTTTATATACAAAGAAACAACACCTGCTGGCACGCGCACCCTGCAATGCATCATATTTATGGGACAAGTTCACGACCACGTTCTCAGAGGCGGCCAACCAGTAGTTTACAGAGATTTGATATATATCATTTTCCGACTGCATCGTAAAATTAAATTGGTTTTGAGGAGAAGATAGTAGAAAGTGTCGTATATTTTATTGCTAAAATTGCCCTTTCTCAAATTGGCCTGATTAGGATTTGCGTATGTTCCAGGAATAAATTATTTCAATTAACATTTTGTAGCTTACAAACTCGCGATACTGTAGCAATGTCATAAATAACATATCACATTACGCCTTAAAATTTTATAAGCACGATATCTATGGTTTTAAAATTATTTTCCACATATTGAAATTTTCAAACTTTATCTGAATATCTAGTCAAGGTTCACAAGTTCTTGTATTATCATTCAATGGTAATACTGATACATGGTGAAAAGAGTTTTAGTGATTATTATCATATGAAGTAAATGATCATTACGTCGCTTTGTCTTAATCGAAATTTCTGTCTGTCAGAACGCCGGCAGTTTTCTATTTTGGGGGCATTAGTTTTATAATGTTGGCGGCTCCTTGATTCTTAGTCGGTGATATTACTAAAGGCGATTTCGTCGTCGATTCATATGGATGAATCATATGATGAAACAGTTTGTACAAGAAATCATCGGGTCCTGACTATGGAAGTTCAAATACAATTAACTTGAATTAGATATTCTGGTATTCTCGCAAGCAAATGGTTTCGATTTCGAATATTCCCAAAATCGAAATGAATTCGTTTCGCTGGTAAATTGTGTTATATATCAACATTGATGAAATAAATAACAGTTAATTCGAATTACGCCCAAATAAAAGGCTTGGATTCATCTGCCTAAAATCAGGATGTTAATCGTTTATCTGTTTTACCATTTGGTAGAACATGATGGTATACAACCCCGATTGGCGAATGAAGTTCGGCACTTGATTTCATTTCAAGTTCATTAGTTATAGCAGTACACAATGGCTAAATCTCATGGGGACCGTCTTGCATTTTGTATTTCCAGTCTGTCTCTTTGAGTGGCTTAGATCACTTTGTCCAGGGCAACTGGCGACAGATGGATTTGTGAACTTCAGGGAATTTTTTATCCTTGTCATGCTTACATACTCGACTCTATTATAAAAGTAAATTACCATTATTATGTTTGATTGAATGTATCGCTCTCAGAGTAGAAGGCGATTGGGGATATATATTTATCTCTAAGTGTATATTTATATGTGCACAAAACAGACATGAAAATCGTACATCACATCTTGGTACGCGCCCTAACACTGTGGTGGAATCATCGTTTGTGACTTCGCAATATGTGCCTATTTGTTTACAAACCCTTCTTCATAACACTAATTAATGATTATCATATCATCGAAATTAGAAGTCGAAAATATTTATCTAGTACGTATTAGTCCTTGAACTCTTTAAATAAGTTGTAAAATTGACATAACTGCTGTCTATGATTTAGGAAGGGCGTAAAAACGTACGTGGAATTTCCAACATAATTCTTTGCTTATCAGTCGGCACAAAGAGCGTGTTAAAATTCCGTACACTTTACCTAATTTGAATATCGCGCATATGGAAGTGTATTGTAGGAACATCCTATAATAGTTGTAATGAATTGGAAGTTTAGAATTTATGTATGATAATAATCACTAAATATTGTTTCGAATAAAATTCCTGTTGTGTAGCAGTATTCTCCACCCAAATGGGCACTTGTCTTGGGATCTGTCTGTCGACATCACTTGGGGTTACCGTACCTGCTTTGAGCTTCCATCAGCATCACACAATTCTTCGAATTTATTAGTGGGATATATGACATGTCTGCTTTATGACAATGGTTTAAAACTGCAAATTAAAATAAATCGTATTTGGTTTGACTCGCACGTTTTCTCATTCGCCTAATTACCTCGTCGACCACCCCGCGATGTTCCATGTTATATGAAATACAATACTTTCAGTCAGACAAAGTTAAGATCGTAAATTATTCTGAATTGATTGTTTGCGAACGTGGGTGTAGTACTAAAAACTTTGGTTGCATTTCAAAATGAATAAGGGACGTTTGTTTAGAACGTAGAATCTGTCTATGACTATATAGGGTGTCTAAATTTTAACACCATACAAGCGGCAAACCGACTGTTCGTCCATCAACATACAGTGTCAAAAGATGGGAATACTTTGATCCATTTTTACAGCGTTGTGGCACGCTTCAAATATTTTATATGAAAGTAATTCTAAGATTTAAAGCTATAGCAATTCACGCTTGCTATAAGTATAGCCAACCCCAGGAATTCCGATATTGGGGGCGCGGTGGACTAGTAGGCTCGTTTAACTAATGTTGGTATCGCAGATTAATTATTTCTAGTTCAAGATCTAAGATTATCATTCGTGATGTGATAAAATGGATAGGATATACGTCGACACGGAAATATCCCGATTCTTCTAAGCATATTTCATCCGCCCATATTTCATCAAAAGTGTGGAAAACGTCATCGTTAAATCCAGCCTCCCAAATAATATTATTTGTGACATTCCCAGACCTTCTACGCTTTCCCAATATTATCCCTAAAACGATCATTCCTAAAACATTCTCCTAACATTCACGTATGATTGAATAAAACGATCGAGGCCAAACTGAGTAAATATTTTTCGAAATAGTATTTCAAAGCCGGGAACCGTGAAATATAGCGTTGCCCCCAATTTGTTATCTAACAGTTCATAATGTTTACATTTGTCTGGGAATGTTCGCTTTCGTAATAATTGCTCGTTCCTATTATATTCAAGGAACCAGATGCAAATGTTTGTTTAATAACTATTTTAAAATTTTTCTCTTTGTCTGGGTGAATTATGGGTAACTTATCAAGTCTAATTTAGCCAATGATCACACTTAACCCTGTATAAATGGTTGTATTTTAAGGGCATATTGCTCATTCTTGGAGTTCGGAGACCAAAACATGCGTTACAAATAGCAAATATGTTGATTATGTCCACACTTGGCTCTTGGTTTAGGTCGGTGTGATGATGCCACAGATGTTTTAAACCCCAAACAATCTGTAAGTTTCAGTTAACGCGTTTGCTTCTCTTTTTTGAATATTCATAACTTCGTAAAGATAGATTAAATTCAGATTAAAATATATACTAATGTCGTATTAACATATTATTACTTTATGTAAGATCGTATGTCCATAATACCAATATACAACCGGTCACCGACTTGAAATTTTAAAGGCATTCGCTGCTATTCTATATTCGCTGCTTTTTCTGTGTCTCGCACTCGATCATTATTAGTTAGTTTAATCTAAATTTTCGCTGTTAAGTTTTACCCGTAGCGAATCGAGCATTTTGTTCCAATTTCACGCTTCCGATTGGCACCCGTGTCGTGACATATTATTCGTGCTGGTTTTGTTTAGTTTAAATTTTCCAGAATTGATGACCGATTATAATCGTTTTTGCTCATGGAATTTCAAGCCCAAGAAGACAATCTTGAGTTTTATCACTAACGGAAATGGACTATAAATTCTGTATAATATATACGAATACTATGGTCTTCCTAATCTAGAGATGATTTATGAAAAGAAAAATTTATGTGAACGAAGATATCGAACTTAATTTGATTGTGATAGCAGCCTTTTGTTTAGTATTCTAACCGACTGCACCGTACTTACTATATTAGAACTGAATATCATTTGTTTCTGACCAGTTGGGACGGGGCAAGGGAGTACTTTTGAATAATAGCCTGTGTGGTTAGTTATAAGTTAATTTTAAATCCCAGCGTGAAAGATCCCACGAATTAAAACAATATATCATTCACATAGTTGACATAATTAGGGAGTAGTTATGTTTGTTTTCCCGGCCTATCATTTTATCTTTCAAGCGCTCGTTCATCATTGTACTTAATAGTAAGTATTGGTTTCTCAGGAAATCGCTTCTATTGCACTTCTCGCCGTTCATCTAAATTTAGCTATGTGTATATGCATACGGATATCATTCAATTCACTCAGTCATTAATTGAATCTGGTCGCATTGGCTGTGTTTTTCGTTTCAAGTCGAATCTTACTTTTATAAGGTGTTGTAGCGTGACCCCAAGTGTGTTACACGTGAAAGGGCGTGAAGGATCACGATTTTTACATCTATTTATAATTAATATTCAGAATAAATCTGGGATTTAAATTAGAAAATGAATTGACTAATATTCGATTTAAAAAAATTAATATAGTCTCCATTCTTTTTAACCTACAACAAAAATAGTGTGCGCTTGCCATATTAAAAGGCTTACTCCGATCGCAACTCAAGGTGTGGGCTTTCTTAGTATTTGAACTTGCCTTTCCGTGAGAACGGCGTATTGAGTAGGGGAGATTTTAATGACTGAAGCTGACTCAGGTAATGACTATTCATCGTTTGCTCATCACACCATATCTGAGCGTCCGACCACACATTTGGTTAAATATACTCCACCCTCTTGAAGGGTCTGCTATATCCTGTGTTATAAATTATTTATAGAATATCAAACATGTTTGTAGATAAGCGATATGTTGAACTTCGTCGATTACTTTGTTTTACTAATTTTAAAAACTTTGTTCGGGGAAGGATGTGGTCGGCTAAATAACAATAATATGATTCATTAAAATTGTGGGAAGCCTACCTCAAGAGATTTATTCTACAACGGAAAATATAATAGCATTCCATATTGCATGATTAATCAGAATTCACCATTTTGTTAATTTTATTATCCTTTGTGTTGCCATGTCATAGAATTTGAGCCACTATATTTCTTTTCCGTTTGGGGCCAAGTGGGTTGCGTATATTTGTTCGGACCTGCTGGGTTCCAGCTGCTACCACGGCCATAATTGTGATAAAACACGACCCAATGTAACTTCTTTGAGAGTCTGTAAAGAAGCTGGACAAAGATTTAAAAAGATCTATTGAACCCATATTTTTTTATATAAAATTACTCCCAATCGTACTGGAACAAGGATTTCGTTTTTGGGCCCAATGTGATAATTGCCACATTTTCAGATAACACTTTGTTATCTTTAGTGACGCTACCACATTGGTAAAATCTTATTTTGAATATCATAATTGTTGTACATTAGAAGCATCGATCAACATACCTATATGACCTGGTATGTTAAAATAGCCTGAACTTAGTATTCAGGGATGTATACGTATATATATATATCTGTTGTATAATAGCAAAGAATTCGTTAATTGTTGTCACTATAAAATACAACTGTGGAAAGATCTACACGTTTATTGCGGACTTTGCTCGGAAGCTCTGCGACATCGCTAGGCTTATAAAAACTCGTAAAATGTATATTTGTACTTTTGTTATCGTAAAAAATTTAGCAGCTCACATCGTTGAGTTAGGGTATTTGTGACTGTGACCTCGCGTACAAATGAAGTAACAAAATGAAGTTTATATTGCTCATAATATAATATGATTCATATCTGAACAATTGGACTTTTGGATACGCTGAAATTAGTCCGGATCACGGGAAATATTTCTCAAAAATGCTGTAATAAACGCTGACCGTTTCCGAAATTAATAAGCCTAATCGAAATTCATATAACATATGGTCAAAAAAATTTTTGCTTTCGGCTTGGTGTATTTTCATTACCATGTGTGAATATACATTGTGCGGTAGCGGATTGTGTGAAATGTATTGAAATTATTTTCATTCTTAACAATGTGAATTCACGTTTCCATTGTGCGGGTACGTTTATAATCACGGCTATTTCTGTAGCTGAAATCATTTACATTTGCTCTAATGCACTGCTTCACGATTGTTACGAATATTTTCTTCTGTTCTAGGTGGGGACAAAGAAAACTTGAGCAAGAATCATAACAGTTACATGATGTCAACCACAACACAGAATGATAAGGAAGAGTGGCTGAGAGTTATGAAAAAAGTAATGAAAGGACCCCCTGGTGGAGGTATGCTATTAAACTCAAATCAGTAGTCACTAGTAATATAAATTACGAGAGGAAATAATATTAGCAATTTTTTTTAAATGCGCACTTGTATCTTACACCAAACTTTTTTATTCTTCACCCTGACAACTAACACTTAAACTTTTCTGTTGACTACTTGAATGCCATAAACGGAATCTCCCAATTAAATTGATATCCGAATATTTTAGTATTCTAGAATTTGTTTAGTAATTCATTTCGATTAGACAGATTTATTCGTTAGTCATCAAAATCAGAATTGGTGTCAAAATTAGAGTGAAGTAGCTATTTTTTGGCATCGTACCGAATTTATTTAAATACCGGTAATTACGTTCCTATCAAAAGTGATTCCTCGATTACTACTTCGCTGTAACTGATGTCATCTCGAAAAAAATTCAGGTATATTTGGACAAGAGCTGATGAGGACAATTCAGTATGAAGAAGAAGTCGACAGTAGATCTCATAATGGGATGAAAACTAAAAAAGAGGCTCCATATATTATTATCAAATGCTGTGAATTTATTCGTCAAAGTGGCGGATTTTACGAAGAAGGATTATTTAGGTTACCAGGACAAGCTAACGAAGTCAAAGAACTGCAAGATTCTTTTGACATGGGAGAACGACCCGATTTCGACAAGTACGAGAATGCCGTTTTACCTTTAAACGTTATAACCATTTTTTTCTGTTCGTTGTATCAGTGGACAGAAGAAACATTTCTGTTCATTTTTCAACCCCTAGTTTAAAATTAGAATATATAAACCCTATTTATACAGAATGAACTGAGTAGAAATTTCTACCTTTGAATAATCAATCAGTAACAAAAAAATTCGTTTATTTTATGGCACAAAGATGAGTTAGTGATTTTTATGATCATTTGGTGTAATGTCGAGCACAATTTAAACCTAACCTTGAGTAAATACACAAATCTGAATAAAAATTTTTCAATTTTGCAAAATTGTTTTAAAAATTCTCTACAAAATCAGATTTTTGTGAATTATAAGAATTTTTATCGAGCGTCTGATTCAGTCATAATAAATACAGCTTAATGCGTGCATGCATATAAGCATGCATATTAAAAGTAGTACATTTTGTGCCTATTTACCTTAATGAATCGACAAAGAAAATCAAAATGAATAATCATTGTATTAACCAGTAAAAATTTCCTTGTGTGTAAACACATTTATTCCGAAAGTTACGTTGCTATTTCATCACCATTGTGTCAATTTTTAATATCGACGCCGGCTTCATCACGTAATATTAGAATTCCAGCCAAACTAATATTATGGAATAAACCGCAAACATCAGGGCAGGGCCGACAGGTATAATGAAATAATGTGCACGAAGTAATCATAAATTTCTTGTATTCCCTCAAAACCTACCTATTATTTCTTCATTGAATATAGTTGATCCTCTTTGAAGAATTTATCACATCTCAAAATCAAACGTCACCTTGGTCTTGTAATTAAAGGCTTACCAAACCAATCTTGGTTTATTGCTTAATTGTGTTTAATTGTTTTTTCGATTACTAAGTGTAATCCAAATAACCATTCACAACTTCCAAATTTGGTATCCGATTACGGTAATGTGTGAATGATCTAATTTTACGTCACTTTACAAAAAGTTGTATTTCAACATCTGACATGAATGATTATTATTTCATTAAATTGATAAAATTGGGCGTAATTCTTTACACAGTTCAGAGTTATCAATCGCCCACCAAGACCAGATTCAGACTCGAACTTGACCTAAAAGAAAAGAAAGATTTTTAACTCCCTCTATAGTCTGTATGAGCTAATGTTTAGTCGTTGCTAGGATCACGAATGCTATTGTAGTACTTTGGGAATTCTCTTTTTAACAACATATTTATTGTATTTTTTGTTTCATATTTATAGATCTACCGACGTACACACTGTGACATCTCTTATGAAGAGTTTTTTGCGTGAATTACCGGAACCATTAGTTCCGTTCAATCTATATTCGCCATTGATCGATGCAGCGAAGGTCGTGAACCCCGGAAGCCAGTCTGCCGTCAGAAGAACGAATTTTACTTCTGTAAAAGACGTGGAAGAACCGAATGTTTTGAAATGTCGAGATGTGATCAAAAGCAATTTGCAAATGCTACCAAAAGCGAATTTTGATTTATTGAGGTGCGTGATTTTCTGAGTGTGATATTTATTTTGAAACATGATGAAGGTTATTTCCAACGTGTTAATATTGGAAGACAGGCATATTCTCCAGGAATTATGTTATTGATGCCTGTGAGTATTTAAATATTTTACACTTCCCAAAATTATTCAAAAGTCGACTTAACTTCAAAAAGTTTTATTCATTTGCCGGCGATTACGATTGCTCTAACCTAGGTCATAGAAAATATTCAAGAAGATGATTGTTCAAGAATACCGATATGCATATGTTTCATCGTTGTCACCACTGTAACTTGGAACCAGGAAGGCGAAAGCCGTTCTTAACCCCGAAACTATTTATATAACCAAGTTGCGGTCGTTTCAAGTGTGCAACTTTATTTTGTTTCGTCTTTCTTGAAGTTGGGTCGGTAACGTATACCCTAACTTGATGCCTCGCATTGTCCAAACCGGATCAAACATCAGGTCACCGTCCTGGATCAATGGAAAATCTAGAATTCGATTTCACTCTGATGGCGCTGAAATTCAAGTCAACCGCGGCAAATACCGGATAAGATGATACAAAGTCTCTTAAATCCATTATTTTTTATGCACAACCAAAAGTCAGCTCTGTTTTGCATGGCTAGTATATGTTCACGTTAAATATGAGAAAACGCTTAAATTTTACAGCATGGTCGTCAAGTTCCGGTTAGGTTGTGCTGAGCGTAAATACGTGTAATATGAATCATTTCATTGGAATTCGTAGTGAAATTCTTGTACTGAAAACATTGCTGGAAATTTGATAGATTGTCATCGTTCCATCTTGTTGTACCTTTAACACTCAGTCACGCGGCATTCTTGTTCCGTTTTTTAAAGACAAACTGACGGCAAAATTTTCGTTCTGTTGAAAAATTCCATTCCCTATAATACAAGTTTTAACAAAGTTTAGTTTCTTAGTTATATACATTGTACACGTAAGCTGTGGACCGAGAAATAATTGAAAATTGTGTTTTTTTCATATGAGATTTGTTGCAAAACAGTAACCCAACTTCAACTAACCTCAATAATATTGGTCACAAGTTGTACAGGAAACTTTAAAAGAGCTAATATTTATGCACCTCGCCTTCATGACAATTGGCATACTCGTTATAATAGACCAAATACTTTAATTTTCAAATAAGATCGCATTTTCTAAATGTTGCTTTTGTTTCTTCTGTGGTGGATTATCTCTTTCCATGCTCAAAACACCGGTTATATCCAACCAGCTACGCCTTCGGATATAAAACTCAGACAACTTGGTATAAGACCGGTTTCAACTTGATATTTTTGGCCACGCAGACGACGGTTATTTCCTGATGAGGATATTTGCCAATTTACACGTTCACTTAGCTGTTGCCGAGGAACGCATGCTCGGTTAGGAGACGATAAATTAATAGCCATGGGCCACCATTGAACCAGATGAATAATAATAAATATGTATCAACCATGCGTATTCGTAGGTATATAACTCCTAATTTAGACATATGATAAAAATGATCAGGCGACGGTTGTAATTTCCCGTTACCAATTAAACCTTGTCTAGACGTATAGAACATTTAAAAATTTGAAACCTCTCTGTATCATCGCAGACGAAACTGTTGAAAAGCTGTCGCATTGACTGTAAAATCACTAATTTTTTGTGCTTCCCTCCATCTGTTGTGATACAAACCAGGTAGCTTATCATCAAACTTGGCCAAGGATTAATGAATACTTGATTTACGCGAAAATGCTAGTAGGTTTTATTCCATACTACGGATATGCGCGAAACTTGGCATGATTTTGTAAATTACGTCGAATCCCTGCATTGTGACAGTTCCAGCCTTGGAAAGTTTGCCGGCACCGAAAAATTTTCGAGTACCAGGTTCCATTAAGAGTGTAGGTTTACCTTTCCCATTGTCTTCCGGAGAACCATTGGAAAATTGATACAAATTGGTGGTGACGGGCTAAAACAAAGAGCGAGACGTGGCGGAAATAGACGTTTTGGACGGCTATGTTGCCGGCGGGCAGTCGGGAACGGACACGGGGCCGACGGTTCTTTTGTTCATTGTTTTTGGTGAGCTAAAAAGGGTGAAATTTTGATGACTTCATCAGTTTCGACCTGTCCATCGTGTGATAATATCAGCTTCACGGCTGATATTCAAATATATATATATATATATTTTAGGAATAGTATTATTTTACCTGAAGTAATGTACGAAGAATGACAAATATATTATGTCAACTACTTAATCCAAACCCCATCGTATCATAGCAACGACCAAAATGTTATTGACCTCAATTCATTACCCATTATTCAAATTGCTAGTCCTGTGCTTAGTCTTAGAGAATCGTTTTGTTTGCCCTCTTACGCAATGTCATACAATATTTGCCCAAGCCATGTCCCGGAGTCCCTAACCTCTTTGGCAAAACTGACATCACTTCATCAAATTTCATTCAATTTGGGTTGGTGGAAATTTTAGTTTCTGATAGCGTCTTTAGTTTCTTCCTGGCACACAGAACGCTGGCCTTATTCTAAGCTTCGTTTCTATCAGAAATACCTTCGATATTTGGGCATATATATATTATTTCCCATCATGAGCCAGAAATGGATCATTATTGGCATATGGCTGCGTTGCACTTCAAAATCCTATGGTTTGAAGATGTATTCGCAGAACTGTCCATCTATTATGAATCCTCGTTTCGATTCACATTGGTCGTGTTGGTTTGGTAATTGCCAGAGGGAAACTCCTTTTTTTAGACAAAAACATCCCTCTTTAATCTCTATCCCTGGCTATTTACCCGGATTTTGTAATAGCGTCGCAAAGCTTAAATCGGTGTTATTGTCTGTTTTTATGGTTTGTAGCCAAACACCTGTCCCAGGATGCCATCACATAGGATTTTGCTGATATGAAACACTCATAGTTAGACGACCGTAAGATAAAACTCTTAACTGTCTTTTCGCTTAATTAAACACCGTCGCTATACTTTGAATTTCACAATGGTGAATAGGTTAAGGCGGGGCATCAGACAGGCTCTTTTGTCGCTATACACATTTCACTCTCATTCATAAAAATTTCTTTGTTGAACTTGTACACAATCGGATATAAGGTTGACTGACGAATATCGGGTATTATGCTGTGTGAATACTGTGTGAAACATTCCATAAAGGAAATGTGTACTATTGACGGAATAGATATCAAATGTCTGTCTCTGAATAGATTTCTTTATACCTGCCAAAGTATGGTTATGCAAATTGGAGTTGGTGTGTTATTTATTATCCTATATTTTACTGAAAATCTAACTAAGTATGCTTTTTAAATAAATAATAGTTTTATTAATTGTTATTGAGAGCGTTCTTCAAACCGACGTAGTAGGGAAAAACCCTTGGTTGTCTCCGGTCAAATCAGGTAACTTGACAAGGTATTTCATCTGGGTGGGTTATTCTGGTTTGGCTATTCATTGTTACAATATATTATTTTCTCATGGTTTTCTTTTTTCTTTTAGATATCTATGTCGATTTTTGGACGAAGTTCAGCAACACTCGGAGCGAAATAAAATGGATGTCGCCAATTTGGCGCTGATGTTTGGACCTAATATTATGAGAGCCGAGAAAGAAGATCCCATGGCCATGATGTCCGATTCAACATATGTTCAATATATCATGTCAGAATTTATACAAAATCATAAGTAAGTTTAAGTGTTTTTGTTCGTTTAGCAGCCGTTCAAGGTACAGCTAAGTTAGCGGCTCATACAACCCAGTGGAAAGCACATGCGGATTGTATGCAGTGATGTCAAATTCTTCACTTCGGTTTCCTAAATTTCAGATATTTCTTTCCCGACGACGATCCAAGTGAAGTTAGAGAAATTATGCCGCAATCATCGATTCCCGACGTAGCTGCTGACGCTGCGTCAAGACACTTACGTAACAATAACGTAATGACGCCATCTCCTATCACTTCACCGCGATATCACAACGCTTTTACTGACACGACGGCACAGACTTCTACCGAAGGCTTCAATACCATGACAACGCAAACCACGACTTCACCGCCCGGAACGATGGGGCTTAGACACGTGACAGATGACAGCGGGACCGGATCTTTGGGCCCTACTCCGGATAATACGTCCAGGAGGATCGCTCCACCACAACTGGCTCCTGTTAAACACCGAAACGGGGGTAACAGACCCAAACCCGCCAGCGCCATTTATGAAGAGGTACATAGTGTCGTTGATCGACCAAGTTCAAAGCCTGCTCTTCCAATGAAACCAACAAAGCCCTTGCGACCCGGTGTTAGTAACGATGTCGATAGAAGGCAATCATTTTACGATAATGTTACCCAGTCCTCCGAAGCAAGTTCGTTTGCTGGCAAGCGAAAAGAGTGGAGACGAAGTGATGAACATAAATTTGTGAGTATCTTGCTCGTTTATTCTTATCAAATTGCTATGAGCCATTACGCAAAGTTTCTTGGTATTGATTTCGGCCAACGTTCTTTAATAATTGTGATTCCAATTTCGATATCTGCTCAAGATGTACTACATACTGTTTCAACTCATTGCATGTTTGCTATGCCCTCATTTGGTTGGGTCAAAATCTAAATTTTTAAAATAAAATTTAGAATGCATCGCCATCCCAAAGATCGTCTTATGTGAATCAGACGTCACCCGGTGTGTCGTCAACGCGTTCATCAACGAATGCTGTAGCTGGAAGCAGTATTGCCGAATCGTTCAATTCATTTGATATCGACACCTTTCCGTATTCTCCAACGCAATCGGTTCACGACGGACAAGTCGGTCGGAGGTATATTTTTGTTACGATAATCTACAAATATATATGGTTGATTTATATTTTTCGGTATTACACAAACACATTGCACAAGCTTATAACTGGTAGAAGTTGCAAGCTATGCGAAGTGAATTTAGTCATATTTTTTTCCCACCCTATCCTTAACTGCATTGAGTGATATAAGAAAAAATAGCATTCATCTATTTGCTACACATAAGCTGCATTGTTTGTTTATATGGGGTGAATGTGTTTTCACTGATCTGTGCCGTTTGATTGCGATGGTATATAATCGATGTTGTGGGTTATTCTTGCCGAATGAACCACATTTCTTAATATATTAGGTCAACTATCTTTTCAGAATATGGGTATTCGTTTGTTTACTCACACTATTTATTTGCTGATAAAGCTATTCAGAAGAAGTTTTGTCTGTGAGAAGTTCATCTTCATTATTATTTTACATGCAGGGTACCTTTGAATGATGTTGACAATCCTAAAGGACCTAAACCACCCGCTCGAAAACGTAGATCGAAGAAAAACAGTCACAACAACGGATCTCCTTCACAGCAACTACATAATAAATACACATCAGACGAGGAATCTAACACGGAGTCCGTGCCACCGGACGACCGAAGCGAAATTCGTTCCATTCGGTCTAGTCGAAACGGTTCGTTGTCCAGTATTAATGACCATCCGAGAGGTTATCGATCCAACAGCGCCCCCAAGAGGCCAACGAGTAGACCTCCTCCACCGCCATACCCTGCCGGACAACGTACTAGATCCCAAACTCAGGATCGTCAACAAACGTACGAAGAATTACAAGAAGACTATAGAATATTGCAGGTAGGTTAGTCGACAAATTTGAAAAAATTATAGCTTGACATTGACGCACTCCTAGATTATATTATTGTATCGTGGTGAATATAAAGTATGATGGGATACCAAGGCAGGATACAATAAATCTATTCCATACTGTACTTATTGAAAGTATAATGTCGTAATGGCAATTATATATCCAAACTGGGCATTTTCCTGTTATTAAAAAACTTACTACAGACTTGCATAAGGAGCTGTACGCATCTCATATTTACAGGATCGATTTCACAAACAAAGCGGTGAATATGAAGCGCGAACGCGATTCATGGAAGAGCAATTGATTCGAATATACAAGAGCTTCGATCTACATCGTTAAATTACTGTGATCAACAATCGTCTGTGTTCAGACCCGAATCCGGAAGATTATCTTCAACCAGCGAATTTGAAATTTCACCAGGCCATTACTCAGGCGTCGTTTCGAATGTAAATGAAGGTACGTGATGAGTCAGATGACCGACAGTAATTTCAACAATATTCATTTTTAAGTAATCTGAAATAGCTCTAGTTAAAATGAAAATGGAGTGAAATAGTTGCGGTGATGTTGAGTGATCGAATTTGAAAATTGATAGTGGTCAATATTGACAAATCGAATTTTCATAGTCTTAATCGTTTTTAAGCTGGTCCAAATAGCTATCCCTTTATTGACATTTCAAACGTATATCTTTAAAGATCAACTCACATTTGTTTTCGACATTGAGCTTTGCGAAGGTTTTCATTTTTATAATTATCCGAAGTTGTTTCAGTCCATATCGGTTTCACCTGTGAGATCGGAGTATATTTTTTGTATAATAAGCAATATAGCATAGTTCCAAATGAGTTCGACTTTGAACGACTTATTTAAGCATGTCTGATTCAAAGTACTTAATCACATATTCATCCTAAAACAGCTTATTTGGATTATGTTCGGATTGATATTTTCCGTCGAAATCTGATGGGGACGGAAAAATTATCCGACTCCACATGGTAAATTTGTGCTGCTAAAAATTTGGACCCACAGAATTCTACTCCTGCAAAGTTCTGAAAAACGCAACAACATTACAGACCTATGAAGTTTGACGCATCGCTTCACGTGTCTTGAAGATGATTCTTAATCGTGTATCTTTTCTATTCAACAGACTCCGTGAGCTACAGGAGCAGTATGGCAGATACTACCACTAGTGCACCTATACAACATGATACTGTGACAGGAAAATATGACACTGAATCGCAATCAAGCAGCCCAAAAGAATTTAAAACGTCCGAGGAACACGTAGAATATTTGCAGAAATGGTAAGAAGATAAGAAAATTGATATTTTTGTAGGTGGTAGCTGGGAAGTTATTATTTAAAAGTTATGCTTCGAAAATAATCCGACCTTGAAATAACGACCGAGCTATTTTTATTCTAGTGTTACTGAAGAGCGAAAACTACGTCAAATGACGGAAATAGAATTGAAAAATGAGAAACGAGGAAGACTGGCTGCCGAAGAAAGAAATAACCAGTTGCAAAAAGAGATGAAAGAATTCTTCTTTACTTTTGGAAGGTACTTGTCTTTGTCTTGTCTTCAAATTTTTAATTATTGGATTGCTGAATTTTTTTGATTTATTTCTAAAACTGCTCCGTTTACGATTATTAAAATTAGTTAAGACAGTGGTATATATTTCGGGCTTGGTATGTGCTCATGTGAATGGCTTCTGTTTTTATGTCGTCAATTTAATGTTTAAATAAATCTATTTCAAGCTCAAAGTTTGAATGTGTTATATGTAGATAAAAGCTATTAAATCGTCCCGTTTTTCTAGTCTAGTTCAAGACTTCAGAAATTAAACGCGTTTTTTTTCATTTGCAGCATGTTCAGTAACAGCGAAACGTCCAGCGTTAGGTAGATAAAGTTCCTGTGAAATGTAATTCATCGCTTTCACCGTCATCAACGAGCAAATTAAGAAAACTTTCGATGCAATATTACGCTTTCCTGTTGCTTTGTACCAAAGAGGGAGATACCGAACTGCGTAAAAGTAAATAAATCATGACGCAACTAAGAACTGGTGGAAAGAAATTTGAATGTTTGAGAATGGAATCTTTTTGTGGTCACTGGTAAAAGATTATACCAATTGGTTTGTGATGGAAAAAGGGTTTATCTTCTAAACTTGAGATAAAAGAGTTGTATGGAGACCGCTCAATTCCAATGCTGTTTCCCATTATTGTTATTATTTTGTCCTATTGTTACGTTCACTGTTCCATGAATTAAATGTATTTTTGCGTCTATTTACTTTTAAACGTAACTTATTTACGCCTGAGCACACCGCATCACACATATTGCTATATCCAAGATTTCTACATTGCTATGGTTTTGTAATCGCCTATCTAAATTTACACTACTATTTGACCAAATAGATATATATGAATTTTAAATAAATCTCCTCAATATGGTGTAATCCGTTTATAATCGCATTCGGATTATCAAACTACTGTTACAAATTATCACGCTTTATGAAGGCTCTAAATTTTCCGAGAATTTCGCCCGATCTTTCACTAACAACAGTTTACCGATCATTTACTGACGAAATTTGTCAGACCAGATGAATTTTCACCAAACGCTGATTAACTTCTAAACACGCCCCAGTTTTTGATTCATTACTGACTAAAGTAAATATTAACCAAAGAGCAAAATTTGATTTCCAATCCTGCGAACTACTTTTTGTTAAATAGCATGAGCAATTTCTTCCTAAGTTGGTTTAATGAAAACTGTGAATTGCTTTGGTTATTCTTTGTATTGTATGTGTTCTTTTTCGTTCTGATATTTATAATTTCAAAAGTTTCATTTGAAGCTCCGGGACTCCATACATTGATTTTTTGATCGTAATATTTGCAGGATTGTAGCTTTTGAAATGCTTTATTAATCCCATTCCGGTCTTGTATGGTGTGATATTGAGTTTCGCTATAGAAGCACGTTTTATGCATAATTCATGCTTAAATGCTTGTTCTGTAAGAATACCACTTCAACCATTTAACTAGTTACTATTTTATTATTTTACCGAATGTTAAACATTCCATTTTAAGTGTCCACTTTATATTTTTCTTTGATTTTGCTCTAATTTTTCATCCATTATTGTTATTATCATTCACTGAATCTATTTCTAGATTTTAGAGTAAAGTCCTTTTTATACTCAAGAATCTGAACGATGAAGACTGGAAACTTTCCCACAAAAACCGTTTTGCAGTTGTAAACCCATTTACGTTGTTCTTTGAAATTATACAATCATACAATTTAGAAATCAATTACACTATGTTGAAATTAAATTACTTTGGCCAAGCCTAATTAAAGACTAATTTTGACTTGCCTTTGAACACACTATTCATCTGCTTTCTATTATCATGCTATAAAATCATTTTATTGCTTTTAGTAAATTTCAATCTATATTGCGGAATATATAATTATCTATTATTTTGTTATGGGGGAAGTGAAAAGTGAAGCAGCAGTGGTTATATTAAGAAATCAGTTGCAGAATTCAATTTAAAAAATGTACTCGCAAAAAAAGCCTGAAATTTCATTTTGCGGATGTTTGTTAATTTTTTTTTTTGTAATTTTAACAAGGAAATGACAGTTTAAAATACACTTCAGTTTCCTGTTTTTGCGACGCCGTAAAATATGCTGAGAGAGTTCTTGAAAGAATTTCTCTTTTGCTCAGAATTTCTCTGATTGTCACGATCCGCCGTTGGTCAGTTAGGCGGGTTGCGGATGATCTTTGTCAACGCGTTCCGTTTGAATGAGGTTTTAAGCTATGTTAAACTATACCAGTATATTACTGAACTATTCGATAGCTATATATTGTCAGAAAGTTAAGATGACTTATAGGCTGGGCTGCCATCGACATGAACCCTAAAATAAGGACATCAAGGAAATATAATAACGAAATGTAATGAACAAAATGTATTCATGCCAGTGCAACCAGTGTCTAATCCTACTTTGCACTAGAAAGGATTTGCACCAGCAGGTCTTTATTCTAAGAAACTATCTGTTCCATCTCACGAGTTACATCTCACAAGTTACACGAACTGATTTTGGCCGGTAGACTATTGTTTTGTCAATTAATTTGATGTTATTACGTAATGACTGCATGTAGCAATCAATGAGGTTGTAAAATATCATTTCTAGCAAATCAATCATTTGAATAGACCTTATTCATCAAAAACCCATCCTACGCGCAAAAAGAAAAGTGATGTAAAGTGATTTTTTAACATTAGCTCTTATGGGGAATGTGATCACCAGAGCAGAAATTTGCATTTTATGTAATTTTCTAGATATCTTTCATTGTATACGTGAGCAGTTTTGAGGATAGAATATTTTTTACATCTTTTTGGATATTTTTATTATGATAAACATGGTCAAGATTTTTAATAATCGTTCATTGAAATTTTAATGAGTGCGGTGTTTCCGATGAAGTCATTCTCACTAGACCATGAGATTCTGCCAACGCGCCGTGCTCTGTGGGATATACGCGCTCCAACTGCTTGTGATAACAGAATACTGGAATACCGGTACCGGGACTACAACTGGCGTTCAACGAAAGACCTATTTTGGTTTTAATTGGATGTTATATATTTCATAAATTCCATGTACATTTCTGGTACACCTTCAAAATCCAATGGCCTAACTCAGTTTATATGTTGACACCATGTACGGTACCTATCCCAAAATTGGTGATTTTCAGGGCTGGCTTTAGACCATAAGAGGCCCCTTCATATTTTTGAGCTCAGAATTTTTCTCTAAACAACACCACATTTGATTGTTTAAAATTTAAAAATATGAAAGCATTAAACTTTTCATTCTCCCCTTTCATGGGTGTGAATTTTTGATTAAAAGAATATAAATTTACTTGAGGCAGTTTTGCTTTTAATTTCTTTGATCAAACAACCGCTACAGCCATACTTTAACATAGAAACTTCCAGCAGAATGCGCATAATAATAATTTCCTTTAGTATGATGCAATCGACGCAATAATTACCAACTTTCATGACCTTTGACCGATGCTGCCAGCTACGTTTTTTGTGCTGTGTAGGGGAACACTCGTTGCGTAGCACGTTTCGTCAGGTTTATACTTGTGCGTTGCTTTGACTTGTTTAAATATATCGTTGTGTGTTAGCGTTAGCGTTTTTTCAACAGTCTTTTTCTCATTTATAGATTGAATACAGACTAGCTTGTATATCTGTTATGCATTTGAGCTGCTCTGTTACACAGTCACACAAATCAGACGGAGCTACTTCAAAAGTGATGGTACTGGCAGACTGGATTTTCTCATTCAGTCATTGCACTGGAATACACCGAGCAGGATTTGCCTGATATTTGGGAGCTAAACTTTCCAGAGGAAAAGGATTACATACCTAAGAGCTATGAAGTACTTTGCAAAGTAAGAGTAATCTAAATAAAATTGTATTGTATATTGTAATGATCTGCAAAAGGATGTAACTATATGGAGGGAGAAAGCAGCTATCAAGAAAGGAAATTTCACCCTTGATTAGGTACCAATCATGTTTTAATAAGAAGATTACAATTGAAAATTAGGAAAAGGAATGTTCCCCCAAGTTGTTGGGACTCTGCATAAATGCCCTACTGGATGTGGAATTTGTTTAATACATGATCGGGGCTGAAGCCTGGATATCATTTGGTGCATTCTCAGCACGGGAGACCAGAGGATGTCAAACTCGCACCCCTCGAACACTCAACAATAATTATGATATTTTTTATTTTTATTAAAAATGAAATTTTACACAAGTTGATTTGTATAAATTGCAATAATGGTGATATGCAAGAAATTAATAAGTGAATGGCATTTGAAATTTAAGGTAGACTTAATTATTTGAAGAAAGTTATGTCTCAAATTTACAATAAATTGGGATCTGGTCTTATTACACTGGCTTTGGTTGCAACAGCATTAAAAAAGAAACAATTTCTTCATTCAAATTTGAACACAATAATATTTTGCTTAATTTAGAATTCCTAACATAAGTAGGTTCAAAATATATTGCAACAACATGAGAACACAATTCAACTTTCCCAACCAAGAATTTTTAGCAAGGGTACCCTTTGTTTGAACTTCACCACAGCTCTTTTTGTGATTGTATAATCACCATCTGAAATATATTGAGAAAAACATACATGATGTATGGTGCAATGCAAATTTTTGAATATATTACCTATGTAGAACAGCGAACGAATCATGAATTGTATAAAATGGTGGTGATTTTGGGAATGAAAATGATAGCTTTTACAGTCGCGATGAATTGATTTTGCTTTATCAAATATGACATAACTCAATCACCTCATTCTAAATTTTCTATTACTCATGCAATCACCTGACTTTTTTTTATATCATTCTAAAATTATATGTGATGTTTCACAGGAATCTTTACCCTCCCTCCCCTTGTTGGACAATTTTTTCGAATGACTAATATTCTCTACCGTTACCTTTTTTTATTATTTCAATTTTTGACTCATTTCAAGTGTTGGTGTCACAGACTTATGATGACCCCTTCTGTTTCTTGCGATGAAAGCCACCTGCTTTTAAATTGCGATTAAATTCGTTTCTGTATTGTATAAGCTGTGCCTTGAATTTGTGTATTATTTCCTGCATGACGAAATGAACGAAGATAAAAAAAATTAACCACTGAATTTTCCCGCCTTATGTTTTTTTTCTCTCCCAAATGCTACTGTATATGAATATTTATATCACTCCCTGTTTTGTTGGTAATTTTTTGAATGACTAAGTTTCTCTTTGTATCCATTGCTTTCTTTAATTGCAATTTTTACTTTTGACTCGTCTTAAATCTAGGTGTCGCTGACTTATGATGACCATTTCTGGTCCTTCGCGATTTCCTGTCAATTGCAATGAAATCTGTTACTGTAATGCATAATTTTTTATCTGTTGTGAACTTGTGTTGTGATTTCTGGCACGACGAAATAAACGTTTTGTCTATTGTCATAGTTCATGTTTTTAATGTAAATAATATATAGGTTCAGATTCTAATATATAAAATCAAAAAGGCAACGAACATTATATATGTTAAACAGTAATGTCATATCAGTGTTTGAAACTTTGTGTCATTTCACCTTGTATCGAAATATATACTATAATATATGATTGTTTAGAATCAACATGTTTTGTTATTTCATGATTGGAGTCTTTAGGCCCAATGCAATATTTGAAAGGTTTGTCATACTGTATTTTTGTGAGGTTTCCGATTACAACTTATATAATCAAGTCAGCAACAGCAAACAGACGTCCCTCAGCCTGTGATTTCGCTCCACAAATTTGCCATCAGGTTACAATTTCTTCTAATTTAGGTATGGACTATCATTTTAAAGGGCTTATATTACAATAATTTTCATAATTCGGACAAAGTTTTGGGTTACGATGTCGTACTTGTCCCAAGATGAAGAAAATTGGCGTATAGGTGAATTGTACATGATTAAACTATTGTAATCACTATGTATAAGAATATTCCGATAATATTTATTTCTCATCTGGATTGTAGGAGACAAACAGGGTGAAATAGTTTTCTGCAAACTATATTTAAAGTTATCATTATTTCAGATTGACGAACATGTATTCCAGAACATATTAAATTGATATTTGTCGTGTCTCATTTGTTCCACGTATGTAGGATAAGTGGGACACGTGGGGTAAGCCGGGCTTGTAGAACAAGTGAGATACGTCCGACAAGTGGGGTAGGGAATAGGACAATCGGGACAATTAGGCCGGCAAATTGGATAGGTGGGACACATAGAAAAAGTGAGACAATTTGAGCGACAAAGGGGACACATGGCACAAGTGAGGCAAATGGGATACATGGCACAGGTGGGAAAACTAGGACGAATGGGACACGACATTTTTGAGACGCCCTTCTTTTTACTGCCTCATGTTGGGTAGGGTCTATACTGCGATCTTTGAAGTGACTGCAATCGACTTTTACTTAATAAAATTTTACCTCAATTGGCAAAGTCAATACTCCATACAGCGGCAATTCAATGATTCGTTCAGGTGAAGTCCTCATTTAGATCGCCTCTTGTTGTTCAGGTATAACAGTATAGGTCGAAAAAAGCGCTCCACTACTTTGATAATAATTTGTGCGCCCCCGTAGTATGTGCACAAAGATGGCGCACAACCTTAACCCTAACCTGATACACATAATATGTTCAGGTTGTGCGCCATCTTGGTGCACATACTACGAAAACGCCATAGTTTGACCCCACACTTTGTGATATCTCTCAGCAATTTATGCTACGAATTATTTTTACGACTCTTATAAAACTTTCAATTTGTCAACAGTGTGTTTGACAAACATAAATTTTCGAGATAAAACTTTACTTAACTTGTGATTCATTAATTTAGATATATTTAAGTAAGAAAAGTTTAAAGAAACTTTCCACGGCG